GGTGCATCCCTACTGTTCTGGAGTATCCTGTCATGTACCCGATCCAAGATGGTGCATTTACTATTGTGTTTGTATTGTGTTTTTTGCATTTAAGAGACTTTTTAACACAGACAAATTTGTCTCTCATTCTCCTCAACCTCTTCATGCGCTCGCCACCTTGCTCTATATACCCACGTTTCCCATCATTTACGTCCACAAATAAACTGCTTGCTACATATCTTTTCACTCCTCCAGTCATGGGGGAAATTAAAAGTTCATATTTTTTAGAGTTTTTTTCCACAAAGGGATTCTTCAAGCAACTCTGTCTGCCGCTAGATATCTTCAGCTCTCAGGGTTGGTGTCCCGACCAATCACAAGCTTGCATTCTTTGTCTCGTTGTACGAATGTTTAGAAAAGAGAGTTCGACTCCATTTGTCCTTGTGAGCCTGCTGGAGAGCCCTGGAAAAGACGGATATTGGTGTTGCGTGCATCCGTTTCGATGCAGACTGAGAAGTATAAATTATGCTTTAGTCAAAATACTTTTCAGATGTTGTGCCCATAATTGGTAGATAACTGATAAAAGAATAGATTGCTGTTTTGGTAGAAGCATCAAGCATGCTGCTTTGAGATGCTGGTGAGACAGACGTAATAGTAGATGCTTGATAGATTATGTCTAATGAATAAAGTTGAATTAGTTTAAAAACCTTATGAAACATTGGTACTGCAATTCAGATAGCTAGAGGGCACCAGTTGTCTAAATCCTTAAAGGTATGGAACACTGAAAAAACATTTTTTGTTATTCTGATTATAATTGGTCACTCTTAAGATTTTCATGCAGGCTGATCATGAAAACAGTCTCCTACACCTATCTCCTGCATTAGCATTGGGGTGGGAGATAAACTCGTTTTTTAGATGCATCAAGATGCGAACATGAGCGATTATCAATCGATTAAAAAAAGTAAATCGATTTTATTAATGACGAGGCGCTAAAAGTGAAACTCAGCTAAACTGAAGTCTGGTTCTTTGACGGAAAGGTATGTGCACAGGACAACATGGCTGACCGAGAAATACGGCCAGCACCGCCATCATTAAAAGCAAGTATATGGAATTACTTTGGTTTTTATGAGTTTGAGGGGGAAAGAGACCTGGACAAAAGCCATACGGTATGCAAGTTGTGTAAAACGAAACGTAAATATTTTAGAAACACAACAAACATGAGAAACCATGTTGATCGTTTTCACCCGGAGGAGGGGGGAAAAAAACCAGTAGCTGCGGCTGCCGCCACCAACCAGAGAATTGTTGAGCAGGCATTGTTAAAATTTCCACCCAACTCGGGAAAAGGCTAACAGAATTACTAAGTCCATAGCAAGTTTTATCGTGAAAGATTTGCGTCCGTACGCAACTTTTTTTTTCTGTTTTATGCATGTATTTATACATTTAATTTAAGTTCTTGTCAAGGGTATTTATACTCAAAAATTTGTTTAAGTTGTCTAATCTTATTTATTTTTTGAAAAATAAATTCGTTTTCAAATTAATTGGACATGCAGCATTATGTTGTTTGGAAGCTGTTAATGACAGCAATTCTTTTCTTTAAAACATTGCACTGATAATTATGTTAATAAAAGATATTGGGAGTAAATTAATGTTTCGTCATTACAAATGTTTTTCTTAAGTACCATGTAATAACTTGGCAGCCAGGTGAGGGCGGAGAAAGATGTATCAATAATCGGAGCTCCCTGAATCGTAATCGAATCGTGATGTAAATGAAGATTCCCACCACTAATTAGCATCTGATACAAAATAGACTGTAAAATGCTAGGATTTGAAAATCCTGACAGATCTTCGTCATACTGTCCCTAAACATTCATGGAGTTGCCCATTTTGACTCGCGAAGGTAAAGGCTGTTGTTGGTTTTACATCTAGGAAACAGCAGAGAACATCTCAGCAGATCGATGCTAACCTTTAGCATTAGCAACTCCACAACACAGTAGAGCTCCACCAGGCTTGAGTTATTTGTGGAGATAAAACATCAACATTGCAGAGCAAATGGGGTCAGTGGTAGGGTTGTGTTGCTGTTAGCCAATCTGAGATGTGAGATGTTCAAATATTAGGAAATAAGACTAAAATCCTGCCGTGTTAATCTCTCCTCTGATCTGGCTTTCTATTAGTTCCTGAAACAAGAGCATCTGAGCATTTCTTCCCCCGAGTATGACTTGCAAGGCATTCATTCTTACTAGAGACCACTGCAAAAGTATTGATTAAATGAATTTCCAACACAATTAAAATGTGTTTTTATGTGCTTCATGTGGAGCTGTAGTTTTTACTAATTGAAATTATTAGTTTTTGTTGTCTCGCGTCTTTGTCATGTATTCTAATCCGTGAATGAGGCAGCCTGGTCTTCATACCTCATTCATGTCTTTTTCATCATCGTCATCGTAAATATTTATAGCACTGTCTAGCTCACTTCAGTCAGCCCCAAAGTGCTTACTACAACAAATAAAAACACTTTACAAATAAAACAAAACACACAAAATCAAAAATGACCATAACACAACTACAAATACAACTGAGACAAACCTGCCTAATTAAAAGCTCTAGAATAGAAATGTGTCTTCAGCCTAGATTTAAAAACGATAGAGCTGTTCAAAACAACCAAAGGCAGAACATTCCACAGCTGGGGCCCACCTCGCGGTTCTAGGCTATATCTCGGGTTAGACAGCAGACACTGGTTTGTAGAACACAGTGAACGCATTGGAACGTGGCATTTTACAAGTGGCTGAAGATAGACCGACATCTCTCCAGATAAAGCTCATCTTCCCCTCTTATAGGCTTGGACAGTATCTACATTTTGATGACATCAAGAAACTCCTGAAGACCCTGCTCTTCAGAGCATCTTCTTAACTAGCACCTTGCCTGCACCCGTCCCCCTGCTCTACTGTCCACTCCTTGTTCCCTCCTCTCCATGACTGATGTCAATGTTGTTGTTGTTGTTACTGTTGTTGTTAGCCTCAAGGGCAAAATGCCGATTATCACTTGTAAGTCGCTTTGGACAAAAGCGTCTGCTAAATACATAAACATAAACATCTAACTTCCTCTTACCTTGGTGTACAGTATTACATAAAAAATGATGACGTTAGCGTCAAGTGGAATTACCGAACTGTTGGCTTGGACCCTCACCATTCAGAAACTAAATTCCAAACACCATTCCTAAAACAATAACAACATAACACACATAATAATAACTTAAAAAGATGCAGCTTATTAAACATTTATGGCCTGAAAAAGCAGCATGTTTACCTTTTCTGGCTTCAACCTAGAACGTTGTGGACCGACAGTGGCCGACTGCCTCACTGCTGAAAACCTGCTTCAATGAGTCTATGGTACAGACACATGGGAACTTTGGGGCTAGTCGCGACATCTGGGGAAGACTGACAGCATATTTCCACCAGAAAAGTGCATTGTTGTCTCCTTTAATAACAGGCTCTAACCAGCTCCAGCTCACTTTTCTGTTCACTTCTGTTATTACTGTGTGCTCACCTCTCTGTCCTGATGTAAAATAATGCTGAAATATGTTGAGCTGGTTACTTCCAAGAACTGGTGCTGCGCTACTTATACTAATCCATGAACAGTGCACGTTACATTTTGTTAGTTTTTATATTGGCTTAGGTTACTACAAACAAGTCTTTGACTTGAACAACAATATGCAGTTTCAGTATAAAGGCTTTCACCTAGTATGAACAGTCGGATTATCTTTAGCTTTTAAAGAAGCTTATGCTCCAGTTTGCACTGGAAAGAAAAAAAAGCCAAAGAGTGCCTTACATTCAGAAATAATTATTACTAATCTTGAGAATCCTGGAACCCGTGCTTAATCTGCATTAAAACGTCAAAGAGAACTTTAGCCTTAGTTATCCCTCAAAATAACAAATGGGATAGGCTAATATAGTGTAAGCCCAGTTTTCTAAAGGTAACCCACCATGAACTGAAAACTACGGTAAACCCTTTTGTCAACTCACTGTTCGAAGCCTCAAATCATTAACAAGATTAATGCCAACTCCAACAAGATTGGTCATTTTACATCCAGAAGTCCAATAAAGTAGTTGGTCCACAACAAGTCTTACATTCACAATCCAACACCATTTACCACAGAAAACAGTCAAAATTTCCCCCAGATGCATCTCTAATAATCCTCATTAGCATCCAGATCTTGGCTTCATACCTTTGAGTGACATCTACCCAAACCAATAGGTGAAGGGGGTCCCCCCCCCCCTCCATTCAGGCAAAATCATCAGCTATTGGCTGACAGGTCAGTAATACTGCCCTCTATTATCGTGTGTGTAGCCTGAAAAGTGTTGTCATTTGAAATCTAGATAGGAATATATCAATATGTGTTTTTTGTATAAGTGTGTGTTTTTAAAACCAATCAATAAAATTTGAGTTGAATGGGGGGGGCACAATGGTGAATTGGTTGAAATCCTTCGACAAACCTTTTTGCTATAAATTTTGAAAAAAGAAAATTATATTTTTGCTCATTCATTTTTATTACTTTTGTACAGTTTCATCTCCAAACTAATCTTGTAGTCCAGAGTGTTACGCTGACATTACAGCTTTGCTTTGGGTGTTTTTACATGCCTGTTGGTACAAACTGGCTTTATCTCAGATTACTGTTCCCTCTAAACATAGTCACATCACATGCATAGCAGCATTATTTATATGCACGCACACTCTTGTGGTGGCAATTTAGATGTAGCTTCTTTACATCCATTTGAAATGACTTGTCAGTGCACATGGATGTGCTTGGACCTGTTCAACGCACTGGACAAACTTTCAACCAAGAGTCTGTGCTGGATTCATGTTTGGACTCAGTCTGTTGGAAAATGTTGTTCTTTATCTGACAGGCCAAGCCTTGAAGAGTAGAGGTGTGGTTTTTTTTACAGAAAGGTGAGTGATTCAGGAATAGGAATGAAAGCAGAAATCATTTAGTTCTCCTTCAGTTCTACAAACACCAGAAATCAATACCTGGATTAAGGTTCTAATTCTCTTGTATGTTTCATTCTGGTTGATTTTGGTTGATCTTCAACTTGTGCATTTTTGTGTGTGTCTGGTTTGAGGAAGTCTGTGCCAGGTTTGCAGACACCTAGAATTCAAATACTGTTGCATTCTTTTCTCCTGATTGGTGGATAGTTAAAAATGGTTAGAGATTTATGAAAGCAGGTTCTTATTTGCTTTTCCTGTTTAAATACTCTTGCTATGTTATAGATAATGGAGGGTTTGGCTGTTTACTTCCTGCTGTGCATGTGACTATAGTACCCACAAAGGAGCTAAGGACTTGTATGGTCCACTTGAACTGTTTATTTTTTATCTGCCCAAAGATGAGTTAATCAGAAGGATAAATGTACTCGCTAGCTCAGTGTAATAATTCCCCAAGAAGTTTCATAATAGTTGAAATGAAAATGGTTGAACATGAGTTAAATAACAAATTGATCTTGCATCTTAAATTTGACAAGATTCCTAGCCTCCTAATAACATTTTTTTTCTCTTTTTCTCTTTCCCCACTCCCTCTTTACCCTTATCCTCATTTCCCTTTACCTCCTCTTGGTTTCTGTCTGTTCTCAGTGTAGCTAAGGGAATCCTGCAAGAGGGATTAGCGGTCTGTCAATGAGGAACTACCGGCTCATCTTCTGCCACAACCTGAAGCAGCCATAGATGGTTCAGTGGTTCACTGGCCAGAGGAGGAGAGATTAGGACACACTTTCACTGCTACACAGTAAGTGTACACACACACAGACACACACACACACACACGAGTCCCATCTTTGACTGAAAAGCATGATGTAACACTTGATTGCAAACTGTGATCATTGATCCGTAAAATGTTAAATCTCTACACTGCACCTTTTAACTGCAGGAATACCACTAAAATAACTCATTTTTTACTAACATGAAATTAAAAGTTATTGTCTTTTTATTATTTTTGTTTCTACCTATGTCAATACTAGCTTGTCAATGTTTTTCAAAGTACAAACATCAGTTAAACCTTTATTCGTAAAACACAATAAATGTGGTTTGAAATATATATATATATATATATATATATATATATATATATATATATATATATATATATATATATATATGTAACCACATTTATTATCTAAAAGCACATTTTAAAAAGCTGATTATAGCTAAATAATTTTGTTGGTTCTTAAGAACACAGAATGAGCCTCAAAATGAACAATCATGGGGGTATTATATTGTACATCCCATCATCCAAGCATAAAACCAATAAAACAGCAATGAATAAATTTGTTATTACTAACAACATATGACTTCATTCCTTTGGAATTTACTAACTTAGAACTTAAAGTGTTTTAGAAAGAAACTGCTTTATTCTCATTAGCTAACGTGCTCAGTCTTTTTATGCAAAAGCCACCTGATTATAAAAAACAACAGCTGGTTTGGTTGGTTTCAGAAGTTGTTGGATGGAGTACCAACTAATTCAAACTTTCATAATCAGTGTTCTGTCTTGTGTATTTTTATGTAGCTTAATTAGTTAGCAGTCCTCCAGTTGTAACTGAAAAAGCAAAATGGTTTAAAAACAAGAATAAAAAGTGAATATTGGGTTAATTTAAAAGACCAATTCCAGATAGACTTGAACAATATTTGAATGGGATAAATTCCATTTCTCTTCTACATTTGTTCCCTCTTCAGATGAACACCATCTGCCACTGTTTGCATTCAGATTACTCACCAACTGACCATCATCAATGTCAGACTTGGAAAAGAAAATCATTGCTTTCTGCAGCTTATTTGGTTTTGACATTTATCCCATTTTTGTTGGCATTCACTGTGCATATGAATTAAGGAGTTGTTGGCAGAGGATGCAACAAATCATAAAAGACATGGCATTTAATTTTACTGTAGTGACCATTTATCTTCTACAGTCCAAATGTCCTCTCAGTACATGTATTCAGTATTTATGTAGTCATCCTACATTACAGTGATTGTAGAAATCACCCTTGCAAATTAAAATCTGACATCATAAATTCCCTTATCTAATTGGTTGTAAAACACATTTGGTAAAACGAGCCTTGTTTTTTCTGACTGGATGTTTACATATGTACTTGTTCTGAAGTTTATTTAAACAACTAATTAGACCCTCTTTTGGTTAGGATGCACAGTTTAAAAAACCCTGACATGTATCATGGCAGTATCACACTTGAAAAAAGAACATTCCTTTACATAACAAAGCCTGTAAGACTCAGACCTCTGTACCTAAATTCCTCTTCTCATGTTTTCGTTTGTTGTTTCGTAAGACGTAAAGTTTTGGCGGGGTTGTGGTGAGGAGGAGGCAGTGGTGGAGGAGGAGGCCATGAGGAAGAGCGTGTCTCCGTTGCCAGGCAACGAGGGAGGGAGCTCAGCCAGCATCACTCGAGTTTTTGGTGTTCCTTTAGAAGAGGTTTCACGCACACACACGACCAGTGGCTACGAGGTTCCTGCACTGGTGAAAGACATAGTTGACTTCATCGAAGAACACGGTGAGTGACGGGGACACACGCCACACCTGTCACAAGTACTCATTACATCCTAACTGATTTTATTACCATTTATGCTTAACAAAAATTGTTAGTGCAATTATTGAATTGTTTGTTCAATTTTACAAAGTGGTTAAAAAAGTTGTAAAAATTCTCAAAATATTGACGAAAAGGGCAAAAAGATTAAGGTCAATTAAATGGAAATAAGAAATAGTGCCAATGGATGGACGGATGGATAGATAGATGGATAGATGAATAGATGGATATAGATGGATAGATGAATAGATGGATATAGATGGATAGATGAATAGATGGATAGATAGATAGATAGATAGATGGATGGATAGATAGATGGATAGATGGATAGATAGATGGATAGATGGATAGATAGATGGATAGATGGATAGATAGATGGATAGATGGATAGATAGATAGATGGATGGATAGATAGATAGATGGATAGATGGATAGATAGATGGATAGATGGATAGATAGATAGATGGATGGATAGATGGATAGATGGATAGATGGATAGATGGATGGATGGATGGATAGATAGATAGATGGATAGATGGATAGATAGATGGATAGATGGATAGATAGATAGATGGATGGATAGATGGATAGATGGATAGATAGATGGATAGATAGATAGATAGATGGATGGATAGATGGATGGATAGATGGATATTTCAAAAGATAAAAGTTTAAGAGCTGAGTGAGCGGCTCCGATAACAAAATGTGGATCACTCTTATTGTAAACTGTGGCTGTGAGCAACCAGCAGGACTCCTGCTATTGATGCCAGCAACCAGTAGGGAACATTCCCAGTAAACAAGTTTGAGATGTTTTTAGACTGAAGGATGCTGTTGAGCTGTAGTGACCCCTCTGGTCACATAAAAGAAGCTAAATGTCTCATGGAGATCCAGCTAGTAACATGAACTCTGATTCCACCAGCAGAAAGATCCACCCATGGCTTCCTTCTTGGTTACATAATAGTCCTGTTAACTCCAGCTCCTCTAAGAAATCCGAGCAGTGACAAGAGTGATGCCAGAGTGTTCTGAGCCCTTCCTGTATCCTTTCCCAGGACATTTATCTGCAAACATGCAGCAGCAGATGCGGTCATTTTCAATTAAACAGCAGGTTTGCAGTTTAGACTTCTCGTCTCTTAAAGCAAGATGGGAAAAGATGGCTTTGGTTTATATGACTTTAACAAAAGAAAGTCATAGCAGATCTTTAGCTAAATGTGTGTTACTGAAAATAGTTAAAACATTATTACATGTACCATGTTTTGCATTACAGATAAAAGTCATACACCAAATTATAAATGTATTCATTTCTGGTTTATATTTACCATACCGATTTATTGATAAAGTGCATTTACAAACACTAAGGGAGCTGACCAAAGCGCCACACTTACATAAAAACCATACAAAACAGATAAAAACAGTCAACAACGGCAGCTAAATTAGCTATTAAAAACATTGAAAGAAATTAAATGTTTAAAAAAAACACACACACATAAAAAAGGAAGTCCTGGTCCAAAAGCCAAGTCATACAAGTGAATCGTAAAAGGTTTTGTTTGAATCTCCCTACATGCGGTCTGAAGCAGTTCTGCTGGTTTTTGTGAGCCAGGGCAGCTTGACCGTGTGAAGTTATGCAACAAGTCTGAAATCCTCCAAGGTCTCAGCTGGAGCCGTGATCAGAGCAGTGCCGGCTTTCAGGATGTTTTCCAGCCCGTGAAAAGCCTTAATTCCTTTTGTTTTGTTTGAGATACTTTTGGTTTTATTAGGAGCAGCGTGCTTTAAACGATGCTTAAATTTGTCTTTTTTTACTAAGAGATTAATTAGAAAACAACGGAGATCATTTCCTGTGACAGGTTTTGTTTGTTGGCAGCACACAAAGTCATAGGAGCATCAGAGAGATCACTTCATAGAATCTAAGGCACGGTGCAATCCTGTTGTCACTTTTTGCAGCAACTCTAGCTGTGAACTACTTTGTGAAGCTATAAAAGGGAATATGTCCCACAGGACTCCTTTTAGGCATTTGGACTTGAACAGTTTATCTGGCTCGCTAATGGATCAGAGACCAGGGAGAAAACAGGAGACATGAGGCGCCACAAAGAAGTTTCCTAATCCCCATGTAACAACATAACTGTTTGAACGTGGAGGCCTATGTATTGTATCTAAATTTGGCCTCAGCAATTAATGTGTGATTTATAAAGGCTTTAGTGCAGCAGAATGTTTAGCCAGGGACTAAACGGGGAATGATCAGGGATATTCAGTTGATGTGCTGTTTGCTTTTATCAGTGCAAATTCAAATCTAAAGAAAGATACACAGCTGTAGATTTGCTTGATTCCAAACACTTCAACAATAAGATGTAAAAATGACACATCAGCTTTTAAAGTAGCAGAGCTTTCATTATCAAGATCAGCAACCACACACAAGTCTGATATCTGTCAGAGTTGCATTCACACACACACGCACACACACATCTCGGTGTGCGTTGGTATGGGGTGTGCTGATCTGGTATGAGATTGTGTGTCCGTGTAGATTCTGGATCATTCCGTTCCCACGTTTGTAGACTAAAGTTGTTAGGCCTCATTTGGTTCAGCTCTTGTATGTTTCTGAGTTTCAAACTAAGCTTTAACTTTGGCAGTGTCTAAACAGCTGGCCTTTTATTTTTGTGTTTATGTGTTCACTCTAGATTTTTGAAAACAAATAGAAACGCTGACTTCTTTGTGTGATTTTGAATAGAAAGCTGGTTTGCAAAACAGTTGAGACCTATTTATAGTGATAGAACTGGTGTAAAATGAAATCAAATACTATAATTAAAAATGATTTGAAGCAACTTGAGTAGATCAACTAATCTTAGATGTTTGCTTTTAATGAGTTTATCCACATGTAAATAAGAGCTGCTGCCTTGTTCAGAGGAGAGGCTGGTGGTCTGATCCCAGCTGCCCCACCACATGTAGAAGTGGCTTTGGCTGAATGTGACTTAATGGAAAACACTTTGAGGGATCAGATGGACTAGAAAAGTTAAAAGTTCATGTACCATCTGTGTCATCAGGCCACCTGGACTTAGAGGGGCTCTTCCTGGTTAATGGCAATGCAGAGCGAGTGGACTGGCTGCGTCAGCGCTACGACAGCGGTGAGGAGGTGGAGTTAGATAAGAAGGCCGATCTAGCATCAGCTGTCAGTTTGCTCCGACTCTTCCTGCAGGAGCTTCCTGAGCCCATCATCCCAACAGCTGTACAAGGACTCATTTTACAGCTGCACCAAGGTGTGTCACATCAACCACATCTTACTTATCACAGCGTTCATCGTCTCCTTGTTCACTCTTTTGTCTCAAGTCAGATTAATCTGAGATGTTAAATAACAGAGATTTAAACTGGCAGTAACAATCACTTTCACACATCTCCCACTGTCGAATTTGTCCTGTTTCCTTTTTTGGTTCACCTCAGTTCACCTTCCATCTCCTCATTCTTGCTCTTTTATGTCAATGATAATCTGCTCTAATCCTCTTGACATGATGATGTTATGCTGCTGCAGTCATGCAGGTTACAGCAGAGCTGTGTGTGTGTGTGTGTGTGTGTGTGTGTGTGTGTGTGTGTGTGTGTGTGTGTGTGTGTGTGTGTGTGTGTGTGTGTGTGTGTGTGTGTGTGTGTGTGTGTGTGTGTGTGTGAGTGAAACAACATCTTTTATTATTTAATTTCTTGTGCATCACGTATTTTCAACTGCTCAGTTTGAGGGGATTGAACATAAATTATTTATTGTCTTATTATTCTTGATGAGAACTTTCCTAGATAAACACACAGGACTTGATCATCTTTTGTTTTTCGCAGCAGTAAATAATATTAGTGTGACAATAATGTTGTGAAACCAGTTCTCCTCTTGCTTTGTTTTTAACACAGATCATAACAATGAAGAAGAGCTTTGTAGAAACCTAAAGTATGTGCTACAGCAGCTTCCTCAGTTGAACTACGGCCTATTGCGTTTCCTGTGCCGCTTCCTGGCCAGCGTGGCATCACTTCAGCCTGACAGGTGGAACGTTGGGGCGCTGGCCGCCGTTTTTGGACCAGACATCTTCCAGTAAGATGCCTTTACAGGATTATCTACTATTAAGATCAATAATCACTACGTGGTTCTTACAGGAACATTCACTACTCTAAATAGGAGTTTGTGTTTTGTTACAATAGCATTACAGTTTAGGGAATGTATGTTCTCTGTCTGCAGTCTGTCATCTGAAAGAGAAGACCTTCAGGACCAGGAATCTGTCAGCAGAGTCCTGGCAGAGCTGTTGGACAATCAGGAAGGCCTGTTTGACTCAGAGGATGAAGATTTGTCCGCTACCAACGACTACAGCTCCATTAATGAACAGGTTTGGTCTCCTTTGTTCTACTGATCCCATTTTACTCTGGATTAAGTTACGTCTGCATCTAAATATTTCTTTAAAAACTTTTATTCAGAAACATTTGAAAGAGACTTTACAGTTGGTTAAACACTTTCTCTGACTGTGACTTTTTTGACTGTTGTAGAAAAATATTGATTCACATTCCATAGAGTGGGTGTCCTTTTCTGAGGTTGGTGTTGCCAACCTCCACATTTCTTTCCTCTGGCTAAAATCAAACATCAGGAAATCTATTTTAATTCATGTCACTTATTCTTGATTTAATGCCATCACCGCTCAGAGTATATTTCTTAATAGAAAATTATTTATGACATGATAACTAATAATGCAAAACAGAACGCAGAGCAGTCAAACAGGAAAACAAAGTGTGTTTTATGTAGTCTGTCTTCAACATTCCTTTTATATTTGCAAAGATGCTCAAAAGCAAACACGTTTTGTTTTCCTCCTTTCTCCGTTTTCATCTCACTTTTCTAAAGCCCCCTTCAGACAGGCCATGAAAAACGGTAATGTTCCGGACTCTGTCCGTAAGACCTTTGTGTCTGAATACAAACATCCGGATAACGTGTTCCGGAATTTATCCGGACGAAGCCCCTAGTAACAGGTCCGGACTTGTTACGGACAAGGTGGCTGCTTCAGACTGGTGAGGTAGAGTTCCGGACAAGGGGGAGGGGGAGGAGGAGGGGACCGTGGGACGCTGTGCGCACCTAGATAGCCCGCTACTGTAGCATGCGGCGAACCACGGCAGCTCGCCTCCTACGGTACCGCCTAGACGCGCGACGGAGCGCTTCACACCGCTTCAGTGATTCCTTTAACCATTGAGCTTCATCATCCAGGTCTCTTATGCGTCTTCGTGTGCGCAGAATTATGCTTAAGCGCCTCGTGATTTTTATCTTGAGAGGTGCTATAGAAATGATATTTTCTTCTTCTTCTTCTTAACATGAGTCCGATTCTCTCTCCCCCCCCCCACCCCGCCGCCGTCAGACATCTGGAACTTTTCCCTGCTGTGTGAACGCAGCCGAAAGGACAAGTTCCGGTACAAAAGTGGTGTGTCTGAAAACACAGTTCCGGTTAAAACCGGATTGAATTGTCCACAAATGTTCCAGAATGTCTGTCTGAAAAGGGCTTTATTCTCTAGTCTCACTTTGATGGAACAATGTATTGAATGTTGATGTCAGGGGTTGAATTCCTTTGGGCTAACACAAACTGGCTGAAGGCAAATACCTGACATTTTTTTCATTGCTACCAAACTACATCGAGGAAAATATTTAAATATTCTATCCTGGTTTCACCTGAGACAGGTGATCAAAACATGTTTTTTTCAGCAAGGTCTTTTTATTGCCTTCTTAAAAAAAAGTTTTATGTAGAACATACAACTTAAAATCCCCATCCCCACCCCGCTGTTACTGGATCAAACACACACAAAAACATAAATTAGGCTTCAGTACAATTCCAATTATGAATAAATAATAAAAGAAACAAAACATCAGCTCACACACTATCAAAATAGGACACACAAGGCAACCACTAAACATAGTTTATCAACCAAACCCTATAGGCTGTGCCTGATCTTCTTTAAATTAATATGATTTGGCTCCATAACACAATGACTGTATGTTGTCGGATGAGAATCCTTCCATTTGGACAATATGGGTCTTCTGGCCAACAAGGTATGATAAGCAATCAGTCAATTGGCATCCGTATGTGTCGTCTGTGATCCTTCCAAACAAAGCGGTCAATGGGCATAGACGCTTAGTGGTTCCTCATATTTTGAAAAGTGCATCAAAAATTGACCACCAATATCCATGTTTGGTTAAGTCCAAAACAACGTAGTGTGGCAGGTGACAATCTGCAACGTTCGCATGATGGGTCCAAATCTGGCTTCATCTTAGACAATCTCTTTGGACCAATGTAAGTGGTGCTTCAAGACACCTCCCTTGTATCCTTGGTCAGGTAGCCAAATGGCTAACAAATGGAGAACTGATGCCTCCATACAGGGACGAAATTTTGATTTCAGAAGTGGGGGGGACACAGCAGGCTTGTGCGGATTTGGGGTGGGGGGTGTTATGTAAAGACCCCTTGACACGTCATGTGCCCATCTCAATAATTTTTCCATCCTCTATATATATATATATATATATATATATATCAAAGTTAAAAAATGTACAACTCTATTATTATTTTTATTTATTATCATTATTGAAGTGCAGTTTTGGCTGTTGACAATGGATAGGTCATTGTATTTATTGTTTTGGGTCTTTTTTTATTGTTTTTGGTGCAACATTTTCTAACAGGGAGTGAGATTCCTTTTTTATTTAATTTTTGTTTGTTATTTTTATTCATTTAGAAGTTCTGGTTCTGGACATTTCAATGTTAAATGAAGGTTTATTTGTTGCATTTTAAAGGGTGTACTTGCATTATTATGATATATTAACATTATATTAGTGGTTATTTTAGTCTAGATAATGTTGACAATGATATCGTTTATCATCAACAATTTGTTGGACAAAATATCGTCCAGCAAAATGTGTTACTTTCCCAGGCCTAGTCAAAAGTATAAAAATTATTTATACATAAACGGTCCCTCCTGAGATCTGGCCGTTTGTTCATTTGCTGTGTTAGAGGACATGCTGAACTAATGTTTTACACATGATCATCACCCTAACATTTGAGTGTATAAAAACATATTACATATGTTTTTTTCCCTTAAAAGTGTTTAAACAGTTATTGCATTTCAACACACAAAAAATAAATGGAAAAATAAGATAAATCTAATGAAAAGTGTACATCTTTGACATTAAGCTTAAAAAATCTGTTGACGATGATGATACTGTTCATTTTTCAGAGCTTTTTAATGTGAACATATACATTGCAATAGATAAGTTTACAATAAAGTTAAATGATAAAAGTTTTGAAGTTACACTTCTACTACTACTACTACTACTAGTAGTAATAATAATTATGATGATAATAGTAATAATAAAAAAATAATAATTATAATAATACGAATAAATTGTGTCTGAGGAGTCAGTTATGTGGAGGAGATGAGTTTGTAAAAGTTAGTTTTGAGTATGTTTGTGAAGGAGGAGGTGAGTCTGAGCTTAATGCAGGTCTGTCACATGTTCCAACTTACGTTTTGACTTTGAAAGAAGTCTCTTATATCCACTTTTCGTTTTCTTGACATGCTGCCACCTGGCTGTGCCTAACTACCAAAGACTCACAAATGAACACTTATTCAAATGTTATGTAATGGAAGCTGAGCTGAGCTCTGATATTACACAGCGTCTAGTTGACAATGTGACTCAGTACCGGTGTTCCCTAGCGGCTCCAAACTAGCAAAACAACGTGAGCACGTTCTGACTGTTTACAACTTGAGTGACAGCAGCAACAGCCAATAATACGTTAGCAAGTATCAGCAGAGCCAATAGATTAGCTTTTGGGCGGGTCTAATAGTAAACCGGTTTCCGTTTCGGTCCTAGTGCTCAACCAAATCCATTTAATGGAGCGTAACATTGTTTTTGGACGGAAAAAAGTGCAGGGGACCAAAACTGCCTTTTGAAAAAGTGGGGGGGACATGTCCCACCCGTCCCCCCCCAAAATTACGTCCCAGCCTCCATACCACTTGAACATTGGAACGCATCTTGGCGGTTCCTGATGACGTATTTCCTAGGCAACCAGGGCGGAACCAAGGCATCAAGGCGAGGTTCCTTGACATTGAGAAACGCCCTTCCAGTTCTTAAGAAAGACAAAGTGATCAAATATTAACATTTGCCCTCTAAATAACGTGCTTTAGGCCAACAAGTAGTCTTTGATAGAAACCCTCATCATAAATCACTACCTTAATGGAATAAACACTCAGCTGTTAAATATATAAAACACCGGTTATCATTCACCTTGTTACAATAAACATTCACAGGGATTAAATGACTACATATGTTCTCTGTGAAATGTGATTTCCCTTTACCAACAAGCACAGTGTCTCTGTTCATTGTTACTAATTACCAGTATTGGGTCTGAAAATACACACACACACTGACACACGCAGTACTGAATAAACTTTGGCCTATTAACATCATTTTAGTGACCTGAAAATCTGATTTGGGCTTCAGAAAAAAACTAAGAATAGTTTATGAGCAGAGTCCACAGTGCAAAAAAGACACAGTTTACACGTACCATTACAGTGGCCTTTTATATTGTTTAATAACAAAATGTGCATAGATAGGATTTTTATGAAACAACCCCTGATCTGTATCTCACACACAAAAAACAAACCATGTGACTTTTTATAGTTTTAGATTATTCAGACACTGCAGGAAGACTAATGATAACGTTTACATGCTGAAGTGAAAGTTGGGCTGTGACAGAATAATCTTTGGTATTTGCTTACAGTAGGTCACCTATTCAGAAGGTTTAGTTGTTCTGATCCTATCTACTTTTGTTCTTGGCATTTGGTTTTAACTCTGTTTTAACCTTTTAACCGACAGGTCAACCACTTGGCAGATGACATTTTACTCTGTTTTCTAGTGAAGATTGAAAAAAGACCTCATTAAACAAAAGAAGCTTTAAATATTATGGCAATGTTACCATCACATTATCATTAAATGTTTCACATTAATACCTTAAATTTTATTATAACTCTTCCTTTTGTGTGTTTATTTAGCAGATGCTTTTTATCCAAAGCGACTAACATAATCTGCCATAAATTAATAGCAAATAAAAAAATAAAATAAAAACATAGCTTTTTTTCTTGGTGTGGATATAAAAGGAATAACGTGTTTTTTTACTGCACCAGTGATTTATTAAATTGTGAGCGCGTTTTATTCTTGAGCTTTTTGTAATTATCACGTGCTACTTTGTTCCTTTTATTCAAGAGAGAGTCCTGAGCTCTTTATAGCTCTGCCTGGTGTAGCTCATAAACCTGCTCTTCTTTTATATTTGAAGTCTCATTCTCCTAAATCTAATAGTGTTCAGTT